AAAAAAATGTCGTAAGTCGAAATTGTCCGGCTAACTTCTATGAGGTCCCCATGGCATGTATTTTCCGCGTAAAGGTGGAAGCACATAAAATTGCAGGAGCATAAGCAGAAGGCAGAAGCCATATGCGCATGCGCTATGGTATTTATAGAGCTCTACAGATACCATAGCGCATGCGCATATGGCTTCTGCCTTCTACTTATGGCTCCTGCAATTTTATGTGCTTCCACCTTTACGCGTACAACCGCGTAACCAATCAGAAGCGCGAATATGCATAACCGAAAATGCGAAACGTTTCTAATTGGTTACGCGGTTACGCGTTACGCGGAAAATACATGCCATGGGACTCCAGCCTGACGCTTGTGTCGATTTGCGTCGCTAAATGAAAAGCACACATTTAAGGGGATCCTAAAGACGTTTGTATTACCGACCGAATTCTATATCTGTCCTTGTATAGACAATGATGATAGACAAGGATAAACATGGTTATAGGTTATAATTTCTTCGAAGCTCTGCTCATTTTTATTCCAGGCTTTCAATCTCAATTTCAAAGGTACGTTATTGTTTGTGCACGTCTTCTGAAGGGTGGGAACATTTTATTTCGTACATATTACTTATACAACTGTTTATATTAGAAAATAAGATAACAGCATTTTTAATTTTTTTCAATTATTACTAATTATTTTACATTCCCACCCTTCATTAGTACCATACTTTACTCCTGTAAAAGGATTTTGCGATCTATAAAGCCGTTTCAAAATTAGATTTTTGACTGTAATTGTCGGTAATTGAGTCACTTTAGCATCCCCTTGACTATCTTAAGGCCCGGTCTACAATGGATGTCGTAAGTCGGAGTCGTAAGAAATTGACCAATCACAATCTATTATTCTCCTTGCGATCGAAGAATAATGAACTGTGATTGGTCAATTTCTTACGACTCCGACTTCCGACATCCATTGTAGACCGGGCCTAAGTATGTATGTACATACAATCTTAAATCAAACTAGACTTCGAAAAATACGTAAAATATTAATTATTTTCAAGTAATATCTTCAAGTAATAATATTTTATGGATAATATATATATAAATAATTTTATACGCTCCATAAGAATGGGCTTTAAGGTCGGTATTCATAGTCGGTTCTTATATTTAAGACCATCTTAAGTACAATTTTAAGATGTCATTAACCAATCACAGAGTTGTATTAGCATCTTAAGATATTACTTAAGACGGTCTTGAAATAAGATCTGATTATGAATACCGGCCTAAGAAATCGATATTTCTTCTTTCATGGGCCGCGTTCAGCAGACACAACTGTTGAGTTCGTCTTATCAACACTCTGCGTTGATTGGTTGGTTCTAAAAGTAAGAGCCAATGGGTGCGTTCAGCCGATACTCCGCTAGCCTAGCGCACGTAAGCAGCGAGCGCTTTGCTACCATTTGCTACGGAAAAATTTGGCTGGACAGAAGCGCTCGCTAGTCTAGCGGAGTATCGGCTGAACGCACCCAATCACGTTCGACTGCTACTGAGCGGCTTGGTCTGCTGAACGCGCCCATGCGCTACGTGTCTATATATACCCGCGTCGCAGATTGAAGGATCGTGGGCATTTAATTTTACCTCGAATAAACAACTGTGTCGGGAGCTTCGGGAAAAAAATGAGATAAAGAGGTGTGATTTCTGAAGCAAAATATATAATTTCTATCGATTTTTTTCCGACGATCTCAATCGGAGCGCGAACGACATGAACTCATCACGAACAACTTAGCTTGAATAGAGCTCGACGTAAATTTTCTTCACGACCATTAGTGCAACGGCGATGATTTCCATCGACCGTCCGGAGTATTGGTTTGTGTAAATCTTACCGAGAACTAAACGGGACCAGCTCTTGCAAGGGATGCATTTAGCGTGCGACATGCTCTAAATACTCTGTGAAATAATTGGAAGGACAATTGCGCCCTCGCCGATGTTTCAAGCCCTGTTTTACGTCGTCTCAGAATGGTTTTGAGTCGCAACGACAAGAGAAAGAGGAAGGAGGGAGACTTGGTGGACCTCATGGAGCCACTTTCAGAATCTTCGAAAAGGTAACTCATCTTCACATTTGTATGCATTACACTTGTAACAATGATTGCTTCTCAAATTAAGAATAAAGTATATTTAGAGATGCCTGTAGTAATATATATAGTAAGTCATGCTGCATTTATAGCTTTTATAGAACTTCCCATGATATTAATTTTGCAATTATCTGTTCCAGGACCAAAGTTCATGCACAAAGAAAATTTGCACAAGGTGCAACCACAGTGTTCAATACTTCGCCTACATCTGTCAAGGACAAGGAAAAAGCTAAACCTACCACAATTACAGAATTAATAACTCACAAACGTCCAAATACGGAGGATTTTTTAACATTTTTATGCTTTAGAGGTTAATTGTTTATTTAAGGACAATATCAATTTTCTTCAGTATCAATAATTCTTAGCCTAAAACAGGCCTGTGGTCAATTTGCACTTTTCGTTCAATTTTGCCTATTGCCATCCCTATTCTCGTTTCGTAGCATCTAGGTTTTTTGGCTTAGAAACAGAACATTCGCTATAAATCATATGAGGCTTTGGTGCATATTGCCCTGCGCACTGTTTACTGTTTATAAAATTGCTATTATCGGCCGAAAAGTGCAAACTGATCACAGGCCTGGCCTAAAAGATGATTCCTTTTAACAGATAGTACAATGTGCTAAATTGTTAGGGATGTAAAGAGAAGAGTTTTTGTCTATATATAATTTTCTATTAATAAAATTAAGATGGAACAGTTATTCAGAAACGTGTAAGATATATATTACGAGAATTTTTATTTAGCATCAGTTACTAACGAAACTATTATCATTTATTTACACTTAAATTGTAGTCTATCTTGATCTTGATCTAAATGTATTCTTTTGATAAACAAACTTTTCCAAATTTAGGAACATCTATTTTGCCACCCAGTTTAAATTTCTTCAATATCGGCAACAAAAAAGAGAAACAGGAGCCCAAGCCAGCTCGAACTTCTACAGAGAAGGCTTCTTCTACTAGTACTTTTACAGATATTCAGAAGCAAGAAAGTACATACCAGAAAAATGTGATAAAAGAAAATACATGCCAGAAAAAAGTAAAGCCTATTGTTTCAAATAAGAAAACGGTGGCTAGTACATTACAAAAAAGCATTACCAAGCTTAAGACAGCTACGTCTACTGTCCAAGCGCTTAAAAAAAAATATCAGGAGCAACGCCTTGCTAAACAAAGAATAAAAAATAAATTCAAAACCACTTGCGTTATGAGGACAAGATCGTGTACAGAAAGATCAATGTTGAAGGCTGGTCTTCAGTTGGCGCCGCGAAAATTCTTACCTAGAATCAAGGCGAAGAGACATGGCTTAAGAAGTGGTGTTGTACTGCCAGATAAAATCAACAAACCTCTGTCAAAAACGAAAGTTGCGTTACCCAGACCAAAGAAGAAAGTCGATGTTAAACCGAAAAATAGCGATACATCGAACACAGATGTGTCATCCGAAGAAGAGAACGATGTCGAGGACGATGAAGAGAAAGAATTACATGTGGAGAAATCGACATTGCAGATAAAGCGCAACATTCAAAAAGGCATAAAAAAAAAAATCTGCACCAGAAGTAAGTCAGAGATGAGGAGAGTTACAAGATCATCCAGTAGCACGGTCTCCTCACAGAATCTCTCCAGAAGGCCTACCAGAAAAACGAAGGAAGCAGCTGCTGTATATATGGAAATTCTTGGAAGGAAATTAGTGAGCCCGGATTTAGAAAATGATGATAACGTTTCAGTTGAGAGCTTTCCCGAACTGCCAAATGCTCGTAGAATAGCGCAAACGGAGAACGAGCTTAAAGCCAAAGTGAAACAGAATAGTACCAAGACTATCGCTAAAACTAAAGATTCTAAAGTTAGCTCTCTCAATAGTAACACTAATAAGCGATTGGATAAGAGCAAAAACAACAAGTTGATTTTAAAGAGCAAACGTCTGATGAGGGTACAGAGATATTGCGAAGAGGATAGTGACGAAGAATCTGAGAGTTCAATAGAAACGAACAATACAAGACCCATTACCAGACAAAGTCTTGGAAAGATTGATAAACCGATTAGCAGGAGTCTTAGATCATCCTCTAAAAACACAACTATACAAACAGAAATACAAAGTAACACAAATACCAAACCGAAGACCCAGGTTCAAAGTTGTATGAAATCAGCTAGAGAAAAATTCGTGATAAAACGTAAACGCGAGCAAAATGTATCTAAAACATCGTCGGATAAGATTAAGCAAAAAAGCCTTAAAAGTAATCAAAACGAGAAAGCGGAATCCGAAGAGGAAACTTTGGGAATGCTGCTCAATAAAATAAAGAAGAAGAAAGAAAATGACGAGGAAGAAGGACAGATCCCTGACAATGTTGATAATACGAAAGATGGAAAGGCAGCTCGCGGAGACAGGCAAAATGTGAAAGCAGATCTGTCGAAGGTATCGGACGACGAGGAATCTTTTCGTGGGTTTACTAAGAAGGCGATATCGAAAGTATTGAATTCATGTCAAACGCATGCCAATGTTAATCTGCTAGTCAGAGAGTCCGATGAAAAGCTGAATTTCTCCAAAACTTTGGACGTATCGCAAACAATGGATAAAAGCGATACTTTATGGGAAAGTAAAGTAGAAACATCATCAGTCAAAGGTTCTCTGGTCGCAAATTCACTGAACGGCGAGTGCAACGTATCTGTGCAGGATCAAAAATCGGTATTGGATTTGTCTGTAAAGACACAAAGCTCGTTGTTGCCATCCATGGAACAGACGAAATGTAACCACGAAAACGAGGTTTCTTCCAATCTTATGCCACTATCTACTCTGCATACGAGAAAGGAACGAGTGAATATGTCGACTGAACAGATAGAAAAGTGGCTAAACGAAAGCTCGCTTGCCAAAGAAGAGAGCAAATTGGAGATGGAAAATGTCTCCAGCTTTAGGTGCAATTCTGCGAAAGAAAAGTTAAAGACGGACGTCTCGCATCTGTCTATCTCGACGAAAATTCAACATTTAGTACGCCCGGTTAACGTCACTCTTTCGAAATTATCAGATAAGACGAATTTGAAGGACCGTGCGGGGATACACGGCAGAAATATGATATCAGCATCATCTGATATGCGTAATACTGGAGTGAAGCAACAAAATGCGATTGTCGACAAGAGTAAGATTATTACCGAAACGAGAGAGATTGCCAAGAATAAAACTGAGAAGACGTACAAAGATACTTCTTTTGCTGAAGATACTAGCGATACTGTGTCCAAATCGGATCAAAACTCGGTGGATGGTTCTATAGAGAAGAAATCACCGACGGAGAAGAAAATATTTCAACTGCGGAAGCCCTTTTTGCCTAAGGTCAAGGAACGTAAGACTGTAACACCGAATGCGAACGCCTTTTCGCCAGAGAACGAGAGCAGCGTTTATGCGTTTGAAAGCGATACTGAGGTTCCTGTTAGCACACCCTTCCGAAGAAAGGTCAGAGATGATGCAAAACGTTCGACTGCAGTAATGCAGTCCACAGCGGTTATAGTATCCGAGACCAAAGTGATTGCCGAAGCCAAGAAATTGAGTTTGAAGGAGGATTCTGAATTGTCAGATAGCAAAGAAAAATCGTCGAACGATTCCGCGATGCTCATGAGGAAAGAAGATGGAAAGGGGACACAAGGACCGATAAATGTGGTAAATACGGGTCCAAGCGTGAGCAAGTTTGAGCTGCCCAAGAATTTCGCGAGCTTGACCAGTGTCCAAGTGCTACCACTCGACAAACTCACGACGAGTTGGAGCAACGTAAATTGCAGCGCTTCTATAGCAGTGCAAGTGAATCTCGACGAAACCACGCAGGAGCAAGAAAGCGATGCAAGTCAACAAAAAAGTACCGAGATATCCACTCAGACCGAAATGAGTAACGAGAATGACGATGACAACGACGGGCAGCTGTTTTACATTCCGTTGCAGGCTGTTACGAGGGGCGGCCCGAATCTGGTACAAGGTCAACAGCTAATACAAGGCGTCGCTGTTAAACTTGGCACGGAAGGACCGACCGGTCCTAATCAAAGAGTGCTCCTTCGGGCTAAGCTGGTCACTAAACCACCGTTATCCGTGGCCCGTTGTCCACCGATAGGAACGGTACAACCGACAACACGTACCCCGTCCAATCCTACGACGATTACGGTGGAACAGCACATACCATCGACGTCAACGACTGAGACTGTGTCGACCATGATAGCAAGTATGAGTGCGAAGACGCAACCGATATCACTAACGAAAAATGAAGTCTTGATACCAAGTCCGAATCGTCCAAATGCCAGTACGAGCGCAAATAGCAGTTTGGAGAAACTTATAAAGTCACCAAAGTCATCTAGGGAAAGAAAAGCTTCTATAGATTCGACAAAAAGCGGGAAGAGGTAATGTTTAATGTTATATTTTACATTTTCGAAATAACACAAGTAATACAAACGCAAAATTCTTGTTATGCATTTTTATTGTTTATGATGAAAATCTTTTAGGACACAAATGAAATGCAAACAAAAAGGAACGGAGCTATGCTCTTCAAGCAACAGTACATTTCCAGGCACGAAGATCGCGAACGATGAAGCTCGTGTAGTCGAGGCACCAACGTTTTATCCGACGGAGAAAGATTTCCAGGATCCATTGGAGTATATAGACAAGATAAGGCCAATCGCTGAAAAATTTGGAATATGTAGAGTGGTGCCTCCACCAAATTTCAAGGTAAATATCGTAAAAAAATAATTGTATTAGATAGGTAATATACATTATTAAATAATGAATATGTGTTACATATTATATAATTCTCTTTTTTTTTTATTTTTTAGCCGGAATGCAAGGTGTCCGACGATATGAGATTTACCGCTTATAATCAATATGTACATCGGATGCTCCACAGATGGGGTCCTAATGTGAAAGAAATGATGGCTATCAAGAAATATTTAGCTACTCAGAGTATTACTTTGACTCAACCTCCATGGGTAAAACTTTATTTATTACTTATTTTTTAAATAGATAGTACAACTTGAGAAAATTTAAGAGAATCGGTGCTTATTAATAATTAACTGTTTCAGATTGGTGGGATGGAAGTAGATTTACCTCACTTATATCAAACAGTTCAAAGCTTAGGTGGATTGAAAGAAGTTATTGAAAAAAAGAAATGGCAGAAAGTAGCAGATGGCATGAAGATACCAAAATCGGCACAGGATCGTGTTACTAAATTAGACGATATTTATTGTAAATATTTACTACCATATGATACACTATCGCCAGGTATATTTTATATAATAAATAAATGTTACAAAGATGTTGAAAAATTTATGTTACAAATTGCAAATAATTTGTTTAGAGGAACGTGAGAAATTGTTCGACGAAGTTGAAACTGAATGGATGAGAAAAGAAAGCAAAGCCTTGCAAAGGCAAGAAGTGTCGTCCAATGATAACGATGAGGAAGAGGATGAGGACAGTTCTGATGAAATTGAAGAATGCATCGTAAAAGTATGACAAAAATATACTAATTATTTGTTATTCTTATTTTTATCATAAGATGTAAAAAATATTTTTATCTGTGCTTTTGAAGTTTGATTCACAAAAATTTCTTAATCTTTGATTTGAAGTAAATCCGAAATCCATCTGAATCAAATTTCAAATACTTCGTTAAAAATTAGCATTAAGATATAGGGTTTGTTTTCTGTTGCTAAACTGGCTGCACTAGGTCAGAGTTCATTTTTTCTCATATATATATATATATATATATATATATATATATATATATATATATATATATATGGGGCATTCCACTCCAATTCGCAAGGGGTCAAACTTCGACCTTTTTATTTTTGATGGCCGCTCGTTTTTTAACAGGTCTTTACGAGTATTAGATCCCTGTTAAATCGTTTCTATAATAAATGTAGCGTTTCCGAAATAGAGCCTGCGCAAGATGAGGACTGCAAAATTTTCAATGAATTTTTTCGCCTATTAGACAACGTCTAAGAAAAAAATTCATTGAACATAAAATACGCTATTTAGATCATAGTTTAAAAAAAAATTATCCTAAATTTTTATAATAATGATTTTAAACTAATAAAATAAAAAAACACACAAAAATTTGAATATCTCAAAAACCCCATTTTCTATTTTTTTGAAATTTATAGGGAATATTCTAGGGAGTATTAGAAACATTTTAAGACTAGTTGGAAGTTGCGCAGAATTTTTGGGAATTTTTTATAAATTTTTTTGTGAGGCAGTAGTAATATTTGACTCACAAAAGTGTAGTTAAAAACGCGTTTCAGACAATTCTGAATCGATTTAGATATACTTTTTTACTAAAGCATGATGAAGATCTCGGCATAGCACACGACAATTGCGATGAATAGTGGGAAAGGCGAAAAAAATAGATTTATGAGGAAGTTTAATTCAATAAGTACATTTGTTTAAGAACATATTATTTATAATTTTATTATTTTGTGCTCAGTATAATCATTCGAAAATGAGTAATCTTTAACAATTAATTTATAATTTTTGGTATGACTTGGTATGACGCAGTGGACACGTTGAGTCTGAGGTATTCTTTTTGTTTGATCGTACCGACCTGTCAAAAATTCGGCGGCAATTAAGTATTGGGACAAAAAAAATTATGAAATTGCCGCCGAATTTTGCTATGCCGAGATCTTCATCATGCTTTAGTAAAAAAGTATATCTAAATCGATTCAGAATTGTCTGAAACGCGTTTTTAACTACACTTTTGTGAGTCAAATATTACTACTGCCTCACAAAAAAATTTATAAAAAATTCCCAAAAATTCTGCGCAACTTTCAACTAGTCTTAAAATGTTTCTAATACTCCCTAGAATATTCCCTATAAATTTCAAAAAAATAGAAAATGGGGTTTTTGAGATATTCAAATTTTTGTGTGTTTTTTTACTTTATTAGTTTAAAATCATTATTATAAAAATTTAGGATAATTTTTTTTTAAACTATGATCTAAATAGCGTATTTTATGTTCAATGAATTTTTTTCTTAGACGTTGTCTAATAGGCGAAAAAATTCATTGAAAATTTTGCAGTCCTCATCTTGCGCAGGCTCTATTTCGGAAACGCTACATTTATTATAGAAACGATTTAACAGGGATCTAATACTCGTAAAGACCTGTTAAAAAACGAGCGGCCATCAAAAATAAAAAGGTCGAAGTTTGACCCCTTGCGAATTGGAGTGGAATGCCCCATATATATATATATATATATATGTATCTCGCAAATCGATTTTATTAAAAAATATTTCAGACAAAAGTTGCGTAGTTTGGAGGGGGACACATGATGAAAATATAGACTTGACCTTGAGTGACCTTTTCAAAGTTAGGTCAAGTCTATATTTTCATCATATGTGTCCCCTTCCAAACTACGCAACTTTTGTCTGAAATATTTTTTAATAAAATCGTCGATTTGCGAGATACACATTTGATTGTCATTTTTAAAATGGGACACTGAATATAATATATTACATAATATAATATATTATGTATATACAAGTTCCATTAACTCAATTCAATTCTACTATTTTAGTTAATAAGAAAAAACATTATATTAACAAAAGTTATATGGTTTTAAGAGGGACATAATATATTGTGGTAATACTAATCTAGTTTCTTTACAAGTGCAGCTGTAGGAGAGATTTGAATGTTAACTTTTTTTTTAAAGGGAGTGTTAGTTTTTTATGACCGAATTTGATAGAGGCGAATTTTGAGAATAAAAACATTAAGGTAGGTACATTTATCCTAAAACTCTAAAAATGGTTTTCTGAGATATTTGGCTTCGTCCATTTTTATTTATATTATAGCTGCGGTCTACTTGATGCTACAAATGGTTCGAAGCATTCCTCTTCTCCTTTCTTTCAATAAAGAAAGAAGGAGAAGAAGAACGCTTCAAAGCATTTGTAGCGTCAAGTGGACCACAGCCTATAAAACATGTTTGAAGCTATGCTTATTATTATCTTACAATTAGATATAAAGCGGTAGATAGCAAATTCATGTGAAATGACAATTTGAAACAATTTTCTATATTTGTTGATAAGTTTTTCATTTTGTGATCAGAAAGTTATCAACATGAAATTTTTATTTGAATAACAAGTAGATATACCTACTTCTTATGTGTGAAGAAACTCAGCTAAATTCAGTTATCACACAAGCTTTATATATTGAATGATATCGGATATCCAAAGCGCACATGTCCTTCACACCGTTTCAGAGATTAAGTAAAAAATTGAGAAAAACCGGAAGTCTTGCTATTCGTAAAAATAAGCATGTAGGAAAGCTCAACATTGTCATCCACTTTTAAAAAAGGCGTGTGTTACCTGAGTGAATTTCGTTTGTATCGTAAAATTGAAGCCTCTTTTCCGCGATGCCGATTGGCTATCTCGATTGATTGCCGCGCCGCGTAGCTTGCTTCATCCCGTAAGGGACTGTCATCGCGGAGTGTGGCGAGTTTCGTGCGTGTATAGTGCGTCGTGTGTGTCATGATGTGACAGCTCGCGTCGTGTCGCGAGGTTAATCGTCCCGCGATTATTATATAATAGCATAATGTTAAAGCTAAATGGCGCGCGCGAAGCGCGCGCGTCTGTAGTGTCTAGTTTCACAAAATCTACTATCTTTTGTTTGTTTACAACTAACAATAAGATAAAATAAGTATAGTTTCGAAATATGTTTCATAATATAAGGTCAAGTTAGACAAAGCCAAATATCTTAAAAAGCATGAGTTTTAGGATAAATGTAACTTCCATCTGATTGCCTCAAGGAAAAGGGAACAGTCCTCAAGTCAGGCCTTGATCTTCTTCACTTTCTTTTGAGGGTTTTGTAACATTTTAATTTTTTACGAGAATAATGTTACTATAGCCCACTGTTCAATCCTTCTGGGGATCAATAAGCTGCATACATTTATAGTGTGCGCCTACACTCAGAGAAAAAATTTGTACCAGCAACTAGAATTTTTTGCGATTAAAACGACTAGAAATTTGTGGATAAATAGCGCCTCAACTATGTATAATATAGTTGTAATAACAACAATAAATAAATTATTTAAACTACAAGAATACAATGATATTATTTATGTTACTACAACATACTTTTTGCATACACAATATATTTTTCGTTAATAGTGGCATTAACGAAAAATATATTGTGTATGCAAAAAGTATGTTGTTGTAACATGAATAATATCATTGTAGTGATATCAACATAATTTTTAGAGTTGTCTAATAAAGAATAATTTTTTATTTGTTAAACTAAAAGACTTAAAAGTAAACATTAAGTGAAAAATCACTATATGAAAAATAAGAATTTTAACGTAAAAAAGAATTTTATAATTAATATACCTAGGCGACTAGCGCCTGAAAATATCTGCTTTGGTCCCGTAGGGGGTCTCCTTATATACAGGTCGGTGCGGAATTTTGAACTCGAGAGAATGTACGGACGATGCGACGCCTAGCGGCGTCGATGCAAACTGCCGACTTTACAGTTACCGCGCGGGCGAGTATTACTGGTGGCGTGAGCCGCCACATATATCATACAGATTTATAATCCAAAATTGATTAATATATATGTGGGTGAACACACCCTGACTGGCGAACCTTAGAAGGATCGCTGGAAAAACCCTGCTGAGCGACCCTAGTTATAGGAATCGATGTTGAATTTTAAACACGCAAAAGTATACTGGCGATGCGCCGCGTAGCGGGCGCGAGCCGAACTCTCTCGCCGCGCGAGTCCGCGCTGCCGCCCGCACCGGCTTCTGGAAGTATGCTACACAACAAAAAAATATTTGTCTAAACAATAAGTCAAGGAATTGTCTAAACTTGAAAAATGTTATTGTCATATCTTATTTTATGGAGTCTAACTATAATAATTATAGTTGAGGCGCTATTTAACTATCAACTAATAGTTGACAAATATTGTTTCTGTGACTATATTTTTATAGTATTCAGTACTATTTAGTTTCTATTACTTTGGAAAACTAGTTACAAGTAGTTAAACTGCAGAGTTGCCAAAAAAATAGTTGCCACAACTACTTCGATTTCTCTCAGTGTATAGTTTACATAGATATGTATGTGGAACCTACAATTTAACGCTAGTTTCGGACAGCCTGTTAAAGAGGTTCTCTTGACAAGATACTTTCGGTTTGCCATTGCCTTCCGAGAAGTGGTGATCGAATAAAATTCGATGTGTTTCTAGCCAGATTTGACCTGGGTCTTTCCGAATCTAATTCTTCGGTACAGAGACAACTCTATGCTACGATTGCTATCCTATAAATACGCCACTAGCTGTAAAAAAAACCATTGCCACCATGATATGTCTCTCGAAATCGTACAACTTTTGTACATGTTTTTTCTTATTACTTGAAATGGCGGATATATATACACTTATACATATATACATACATTTGTAACATTAAAGGGAAGAAACATGCCGTTGAACGCTTTTTACCGAATTGCCCGTAATACGCAACGTATGTGGTTTGGTGAAAATCAACGAGGAAACGAAACCGAGGGTGCTTCCGCCAATGAGGTGGAGAGTGCATTTTGGAAACACGTTGCCGAGAGAAAACGTCATGTTTGTGTACATGCGGCAAGCATTGATTCCAGTGGTCGTGGATTTGGCTTTTCCGTTGCAAAAAACAGTCCGTTCGCTAGACATCCTTGGAATCTTAAAGTTCTCACTAACAATGCTGGATCAGTATTGAGAGCTTTGGGTCCACTAATGGGTATGCAGCTTTTTTATGATAGGCAGGCTATTACAATTATTCGTATGGCTCAGGGAAATGAATAGATAGACAGATAGATAACTGAACTTTATTCCTCTCAGGGTTACAGTATTACACATCTTAAATTTCATTTAAAATATACTATCTTATGTACACTATTTGCTGCCTTAGGGCCATTCTACAATACGTCGCGAACAATGGCAACTGCTAGTTGAAAAGTGTTATTTCTGATTGCCGATTGTCAGTTCCTGTCGTCAAAAAAGTTAAAAGTTTGCCAACTTTCCAACTTTCTTTTGACAACCGCAACTAACAAGCGCAATAACCGGAAATAACACTTTTCAACTAACAGTTGCCATCGTTTGCGACGTATTGTAGAATGGCCCTTATACTACGTCTGGATGGAGAGGCTGTGCGCTTGCATAACGTTTGCACACGTCCCCCCCCATTCCCACACTCACACACACACATTTTCCTAATGGAACTTCCGTTTCCGCAAGGTAACATTGTCCCGATAAAATAAAAAAAAAAATAAAAAAAAAATAAACATCTTGCCCTCCCCGCAATTCTCTCGCTTTTTAATTCTCTCTCTCTCTCTCTCTCTCTCTCTCTCTCTCTCTCTCCCCCCCCTATCCCTCCCACTCGTTCACTCGCCCTCTTCCCTCCTATTCCTCTCCTCACTCTTCTCCAATTCTCTCAACCAGTCTTCACCTTCTCCTTCTTCCCTCAATATTTCCTGCCAATTTCTTCCTCCTCCCTTCCTCCCACACGTGTTCCCATATTTCCTTCTTGCTTCCACACAATCTGCACACCATTTCCTCTTCCGTCTCCCAGTCTCCCTTCTCTCATTTCATTTCCCAGTCTACATCTGGCCAACCTTTTACTCTACTTCCTCCCCATCCCTTTTTCATATATCCCAGTATTCCCTCTCCTTTAATATACTTGTATATTTTGTTATATTTCGATTTCCTTCTCCTTTCCCATCTTTCATCCTTTTCCCTTTCTTTTCCCTTCTTTACTAATTCTTCCACTAGCTCTTCCCCTTCCGCCATTCTCCTTACTTCTTCCATATCCAACTCTCTCTTCATAAAAAACTCTAATCTACCCTCCTCCCATCTCGACAAACTCACTCCCTTTACTGCTCTTTTTTTAATTTTCTCTAGGCATCTTCTTGCAATCTCGCTTCCTCTTCCAGTCTCTTCTCCCATCCCCACGCCCTCAATCCCGCCCTTTCTCTTAGTTTCTTTGTAACTCCACTCTTATCACATACCCTGCTGTTCTCCCAGGGAATAAATAAACACACAATTTAAGGATCCTCATTTTTTGATCATGTTTCTTCAATAAAGGTGCATTTATAGCATTCTTATATGAGCAATGTAACTTTTGTATTTCTAGGTGTGACCGTACCGACATTGCATGTGGGTATGTTATTTAGCGCTTGTTGCTGGTATCGCGATCCACATGGTTTACCATGGATAGAGTATCTACATACAGGTGCCAAAAAGATTTGGTATGGGATACCCGATGAGCATAATAACAATTTTCGAAAAGCACTTTCGAAAATGGTACCGCGATATTGCAAAAACAAGACTATATGGTTACCTTCTGACACTGCCATGGTTCCACCAGAATTATTAGTAAGCAACGGTGTACCGTTATGTCAGATAGTACAAGAACCGGGACAATTTATAATAGTATTTCCAAAAGCGTTTACATCTAGCATTTGTACCGGTTATGTAGTATCCGAAAGCGTATATTTCGCACAACCATCTTGGTTAGAAACCGCGGAACAAGTATTTAAGGTATGTGCATAAAACGTGTAAAATCTTTCATATATGGTAGAGTCCTATATAAGGAGAGAAGCGACTTCGGACCCCCCACCATCACCTCCAACACCGCCATATTGGGACCGCTCCAGTTCTATCAGACAAATCAAACCCCACTACCTAACCTAACCAGTAAGACAACGTTCCGATATTCGCTGCCAGTACTGAAAATCTATAGTTTACGTCACATACTTTTCAGTACTCACAATAAATATCGGAACGCACTGAACGCAGCCTAAATACTAGCTGTAAATATCAAAACATATTAAGGGGATGCTAAAGTGACTCAATTACCGACAATTACAGTCAAAGGTCTAATTTTGAAACGGCTTTATAGATCGCAAAATCCTTTTACAGGAGTAAAGTATAGGTACTAATGAAGGGTGGGAATGTAAAATAATTAGTAATAATTGAAAAAAATTAAAAATGCTGTTACCTCATTTTCTAATATAAACAGTTGTATAAGTAATATGTACGAAATGAAATGTTCCCATCCTTCAGAAGACGTGCACAAACAATAACGTACCTTTGAAATTGAGATTGAAAGCCTGGAATAAAAATGAGACGTTCGAAGAAATTATAACCTATAACCATGTCTATCCTTGTCTATCATTATTGTCTATACAAGGACAGATATAGAATTTGGTCGGTAATACGAACGGCTTTAGGATCCCCTTAACTTCATTTTCCACTGCGGTCTCAATATGGCTGCTTCAATTAGGTGGGGGCATCACCAATCAGAATTCGCGACGCCGGAGCCGCTTCATATATGGTTCATATATGGAGGTTTTTAGTCACTTAACGATTTCATATTTGATAATAAAACATATGTTTTCAGGACATACAAGACAGTTGCGAACCTTCTATCTTTTCATTCGAAAGATTGTTATTTAATATTATTAATGACACAAGATCTCACATAGATATATTAAAACAGGTAGGAATAGATTTGTTGTAATTATTAGAGAATTAATTAAAAATGAAAATAGATAATTATATATTATCATAATAAACCTTTGAACTCTTAGTATTACATTAAGATATTATATCTTCAGATATTGCCGAGTGTGATAAAGATTCGCGAAAAGGAATTAGATTATCGTAAACAACTGGAATGTGTGGGTCTTATCAATAGAGAAAGATTGCCTTTGCCAGATAGTGGAAAAGGAAAGAAAGGGAAAAAGGTGAAAGAAGATGATGGTGACTTTGAATGTGAGACGTGTAGAGCCAATTTGTTTGTCTCTTTGGTAAACAATTCACAAGATGACAGCGTTTATTGTTTGCCGCATGCATTGCATTTAATCAGTTGTAAGAAGCAAATTCTGAAATATTGTACTCTGATGTACACATATGACGAAGTAAGTATAACAACTTATTATATACCAATTAATCAATATGTTCTGTGTAAAGTTATATGTATTAGTACACTGCTAAAAAAAAATTAGGGAATCACTTTTTCTAAGTAATAAATTTTTGCCCATTTTTAAACTGTAATCACTCAGCGAATAATTAACGTAAAAAAAAGTTTAAAGAAAGGTTTTACGAGACAAACTCTACTATAAGGTGCTTTTGTTCAATTTTCACTCAGATTAATATTCAAAGGCGTGATCAGCTTTGAATAAGGACGTATTTGAGATATCCAAAATCTTGAAATTTGCAGTTTTCCACCACCTAATAAAAAAATTGGCGAACATAATTCACACCATTTCAAAGTACGGACTTTGCCCTTAAAAAAAAAACTTTGTCCTACGCCGATTATTTAACGAGATATCGCAATTTAAAGTAACCCCTGTTTTTTTTTAATGATTTCAGCATGACTGCTGGCATTTGCGTAACCTGATGTGCACCACGGGGAAGTTGCTTGGACGGATTTTGCACATCATGTATGTATGCGTATATGGAGTGTACATACATGTGTATGTGTGTACATGTAGAGGTTTTTTTTAGTAAGAAGTGTTGTGCCACTTTTTCCCCGTACCACGCGTATCCCGCAATCTTGATCTCATATTGATGCATTTTTTTACATTAGATTGAAGAGACACTGCGTCAAATTTGGAATAAAATTTCTCAATTTGATGTAAAAAAAATGCATTAATATGAGATTAAGATTGCGTGAGGTAATACGGCGAAGAAATGACAACACTTCTTACTAAAAAAAAACCTCTACATGTACACATACACATACATATATGATGTGCAACATCCGACCCAGCAACCTCCCCATGGTGCACATCAGCTTACGCAAATGCTGGTGGTATCGTGCTAAAATCATAAAAAAACAGGGGTTACTTTAAATTACAATATTTCGCTAAATAATCGGCGTAGGACAAAGTTGTTGTTGTGGTTTTTCTTTTTTTTTTTTTTTAATTTTTATTTAAAAGGGCAAAGTCCGTATTTTGAAACGGTATTAATGATTATGTTTGTTAATTTTTTTGTTAGGCGGTGGAAGACTGCAAATTTTAAGATTTTGGATATCTCAAATACGTCCTTATTCAAAGCTGATCATGCCTTTGAGTATTAATCTAAGTGAAAATTAAACAAAAGCACTTTATAGTAGAGAGTTTGCTCTAAAACCTTTTTTTAAACTTTTTTTTACGTTAATTATTTACTGAGTAAGAGCCTCCGTACACAAGACTCTCGTATGGTAAGGTAGTATAACGAAACGTGAGTCAACACACAAGAAACGTATCGGTTACGGCGTTATACATCAATATGTTTCTTGTGCGTTGATCTACGTTACATTACCATATGAAAGTTTTGTGCGGAGGCTCTAATTTGTAGGAAATTTAGGGCCGTAGGGCCGGTATTGATAGGAGATCGGGGAAATTAGCGTTGTAGTGGAGCAGTCGTGGGGTAGCAGCCTAAGTGCTAGGCGTGTGAACGAAGGATTCCGAGTTCGAGTCCCGGTCGGCTCCGTTAAATTTTTCCGTCTCTTACAAATTACAGTTTAAAAATGGGCAAAAATTTCCTGATAAAAAAGTGATCCCTTAATTTTTTTAAGCAGTGTATAAATAATTGAGAGTAATTATGTCCTAATTTATGTTTATCAGGACGAATTAGACGAATTGATTCACAAACTGGAAAACAGGATCGAAGCCAAATCTAAAAAAACTAATCAAATAAAACAAAATAAGCAAGAAAGATAAGTCTGTTATTTTATTTATAAAAGATAAAAGTGCTTATTATTTATTAATCTATGTTAGAATAAACGTTGCATAACTAGCAAACATGATTGTACTGTGTCTCGCTTATTATAATAGAAACTAGTTTATAAAAATTGTTTGTTTATCTAGCGTATAATAGGATAAATGATGATAATGAACGACATTATAAGAAATAGAAGTTTTATAGTATATGATTTGCCCAACTCTTTCGAGACGGTTGTGATGTATAAAATATGTGAAATTATGTGATTTCATGATACTCGTCTTTAAAGAGTTAAAAAATAAAAATATTCATATATTCCATTGGCGGAAATATCTACATTTGTTGTAATTTACTTTTAAGGAATATATTAAGACAAGGGGGATGTTATTCAATATTTGAGCAAATTCCTAAAGAAACAAGGAGACTTACTGTATCCGTAACAACTTATAATTCTTCTTTATCACGATGTGATCTTATCTACTTATCTTGTCTAGTAATTTAGAATTGCAGAATATTAGTAATTGCTTGAAACTAACATAATATATGATTCTTTTATAATTATATATTATATAACTTATATATTATATAATTTATTAAAGACATATATGTTTGAAATAAAACTTTGACAATAGAAAAATTTAGGATATATTCCAGAACATAATAAATTATCCATTAATAGATTAATAGATCTGTGTCCGATTTTATTATTAACAAATATAACACAATATTAATGTACTGATATATAAAAACATATTTAGGTAAAAATACACATTAAGTGTTAGCCACCTCCGATGACTCACCCCTTGACATATATTACAGAGGTCACCTTCCTGAGTGACCTTCAGAAAGTTTTAGCAGTCGCTCATTGCTTATTTAAAAGTTATATAATAAAAAAAAGCTTGAGAAAACAAGTTTGTGTCAGTGCTAAGGGGGGTAATTGGTTGATACGTGTGGCGTGTGCATAGACAGTACACATGTAGGCGGGGGAGGGATTACTGCCCCTCCTCTGCAAGCAGGGGTAGTAGGGGTGGACCTTGGTTAGAAAGTTGAAAACCGAACCATACAATGATAGACCTCGGAAGCTTTCCAATAAGACGACACAGCATGACACTGTGTCACACGGTGAGTGGGTGCTTATTGTCACAGATTAATAGACTGATAGCCAAAGCCAAAGGTCCGGGTTGAGACGAGACCAGCATTTCTCACTGGTTTCAGCGCCATACCGTGTAGCGGCCAATGCAGTAACTACGTTCTTGATAAAACAGGTCATTTTCGGACGAAGTCGCTGTAACTCTTATAACTGCAGTTTCGTTATCATCGTTATATTATCGCTGTGCAGATATAATATATATATGATAAAAAAGCTGCGCAACGACAATATAATGATAACGAATTGTTGTTAATAGTTATAGAATCAGAGCACTGATCTCTAAGCCGAGAACTTTGCGTGACGTGTTAGACAAGTTATATTTCAATCAAAATTAAGTATGTTAATTAATATTGTTAGGACTTTCAACTCTTAAAAGAAATTTGTTATGTCAATTGTAGTCAAAAAGATATTGTTGATTAACATAGAATCTATTGCATTAAAGTTGCGACTCACATAAACCATAATTAATTAAGAAACTATGAAATTTTTTGTTATTCAAAGAGTATAGCCGGGTTTGTATGGGAAATCTGCCCCCGTGGCTTTTTCGATTTGCACTTGGGGGACCGATTTGGCATTAAATAAAAATAATTCAGCTAAACTTTTAGCTCTTTATCTTAAACGATTTTCGAGATTTAAAAAAACCACTTTTTTCGATTTTTTTTTCAATAGTAAAATTCAAAATTAATGAATGGTGATTTTTTTTCTAATTCTTAGGAGTAAAAGGGATGAAAAAACACTTTCATTATAAATCTCAGGTGGAAAGCCGATTTTTAAGAACAGAAATAAAACTATAATTATTTTTTTTACCGTGTTATTTAAAAGTGTCCACCGCCAAACTTTGTCAGAAAATGTCTTCCATACTCCTTTACACTCAGGAATTTTTTCATTTTTTTGAAGTGGTGGAACATTATGAAAAAAAATAAAAACTAATTTTTTTTTCAAAATCTTGCGTTTGAACGCATTAAAACTCTTATACTGCTAGAGAAATATATAGAAAATAATTTTTCAACTGAAAAAACACAACTTACTTACAAAAATATTTAAAAAATTAAGAAATGCATTACTTCAAAAAATAAAGGACATTAAAAATTTTTGAATTGACGTTAAAAATTTTTTTCACACAAAAATTCATAGAAATAAAAAAATATAATGTTTCTGTACTATTGGCAATAATTTTATACCGTTAATAAATAAAAATGAAAATTCTTATTTGATAAGTTATATTATATTATTTATTTTTAACAATACGTATCATCAATTATTTACATTCAATGAAATGATTTTTTATTTTTAATATCCGCTATTTTTAATTAACTTTGCCATCCGATTAATATTGCGGTTATTTAAGGTATTCCTTTCATGACACCAAAGTCTTAAGAATTAACTGATTTTTTGGTACGAGAGAGTTAAAATGCATATCTTTACGCCAGAAAAAAATTAAATCACATTACCGAACATATAAAGAAGAAATATGACTTTGAAAAATCGATATTTTATATGTGATCGAAAAAGTCTATTTTCTACATTTTAATGTAATAATTTGTTTATCAAATATTTTAAGATATTAAATATTAACTGCGCTACATATTCGCTAAATTCTATACTTTCGATAGTGCCGATAAAAATACAGTCACCGAATATTTAAACAAAATATTTATGTTAAAAATTGACTTGAAATGCGGTTTATAGATGAATATTTTTAATGGCGACTTTCAAGGAATTATTTAGCAACGCTGCAAGCTGTGCGCTCATGTCACACTTCAGTTCATCACGTACCTACGGTTTATTATCAACTTTTATTTTCACAAATTGTCCCTTATTTTTGCCCACATTACTCCTCACTTTATGTTTCTCATCACTCATTATTATTGCAAAATCTCTCTTTGATAAACAGAAAATGTCACAATATTCCTTGATTAAGGAGGCTCTTACCTCGATCATAAAACGACAGATCTTTATGAAATTAAATTATGTTGTAAAGTGAACCACAACGAACCGATGCCCAAAACTTTAGCATAGGTTGACGATAAAAATTTAAAAAATATCAGTATTGAAATTCGCATTTTTAACACAGGGCATATGGTAAACACTAAAATTTTTATCGGAAGTGATGTATTTTCTTGGCAAGTTTGCGAGCCAGGTAAACAAAAAATTAAGGAATTGTAGTTAAAATAATAATCTTTCTAATGATAAGAAGAAAACTTGGTGTTGACGATGAGTTATAAAAGATATTGTAGTTTTAATATGACGTACGACAGGTTAGGCGAATGATCTTCCGAGTGTCAAAATCGCGCGAAGTTTCTAACCTCACTTGCACATGTCTTTTCTCTGCGCTGTATGGTAGCGGCATAATTATTCTCTCGCGCATTGACATATTGCAACCTTTATTTTCGAGAATTTTCCTTTCATTTTCCCTCTCAACATTCTCACGTTATATCTTTCTTTTGGCTCCATCTCTTTATCGCATCAATCGCTACAATGCTACACGGCTACACCTCACTTTAGCTGCAGACTGCTACAGACGACGTTGTAACACGCGCATGTTATTATTCTGCTCTTTAGCACTGACGTAGTCAACTGACTTATTGTATAAATTTTAATATTTACACTAATAGAACATATAACTTACTCTTACACTATGTAAAAATCATCATTTATTTTTTTATTTAATTTTCCGATAATTTTATAACCAATTATTAATGATAATTTTTCGGTTGCTACATTGATTAGAGCAGCCGGGTAAGAACCTCCTTAATGAAATTGACACTTACATTGACACTTTTGTTATCAACTTCACATTTTACAATCGGCGCCCTGAAAAGCGCAGCGTTGCCATATTGTTCTGACAGTAAAATTTACCGAAAAATTTCTAAATTTCTAAATACACATAATATTTTCACTTTTTTCTTATAATTAAACATAAATCAATTATAACTTAATTTTATATAAGTTTAATGCAATATACAAAAGTTTGCTGAGGCCCTGCTTAAGCGCCTACAAAATACGCTCCTCCGTGAAAAGAATACCTTAAAAAAAACCCTTAACTTCAAATACATAATTAAAAAATAATTCATAAATTCTGAATGATATATGTATATAGTTGCAACTTCTTGACGCAATAGATTCTGTGTTAATCTTGGTGTTAATAATCATGCATCAATTATATATTTTTAATCATAAATGACATAAGAAATTTTTTTTAAGAACAAATAAAGGATAAATATTTTAATTTGCGATGCTTCTTTAATAAACTTATTTAATTAATTATATTTATTATTTATAACGTCGTGTAGGAAAGTTTCATGTTTGTATATCGATTAAAATTTTAAAAATAAACTTTTATGTAATTTCCCTGGTAATTTCATAAAATTAATATTTTCATCAAATTAAACTGCCAAATACGATCAGGCTGAATTTTGTTCACCTATATAGTAACAATTTTTCTTGTGAATTTTAAAAGTATATTCTTTCGGTTCGTCAACTACACGCGCCGTACTTTCAATCTTGAAACGCAGTCTGAAACTGAAACGTACAATCACATAGTTAAATTGATAATCAATTTAACAATACCGATACTATACCCATCTCCACACACACTGCAAAGAATGTTACGCAAATATTTTTAATTTATAGTTTATAAAATTATTGACTATAATTTTTATTTTTCTTTAAATTTTAATTAATATCTAATATTTTAAATTTCAGTTTATAAAATTAATTTTTATTTTATTATTAATTTCTTAAATTTTAATTTATTAATTTAATCAAGAAATATATTTTTCACATATCGACTGATATCTTTCAGGAGGTCGTATCTTACACAATTCGAGGTCGATTTTACACAATTTCCGATTTTTCTGCTTAAAGACGTACTCCGGCTCCAGTCGTGCTCAACTTGTATTCGTGCTTAAAACGATGTTTATATACAAAATATTATATAATAACATCTAAAAAATAAGAAGTTAACTTCACGCGTGAGAACTCATGCGGCGTTGTCAAGTTAACACACTTAACTCTTGTAGAGACCGTTACAGTGAGCCTACTGTTACAATTATACCCTAGAAGCGCATCATTCTATTAGCCAATCAGCGATCTGGAACAGGTAGCCTTCATATTGCTTGCTCAGCCAATGAGAATAGACCGCGTTTTTAAAAGATCGGTAAATTAATAAGTTTGAGATTATGGC